TAAAAAAAAAGATTTTCCTTGATAATTAGAGTGTGCTACAGGCAGGTTTAAGCAGAGAAAGATATTTCATCATTATAATGGAATTTGGAAACAGAAAAGCAAAATATTTATCTACCAGATAAATATATTCTACAAGTTCCTTTAAGTCTCATTTTGGTTTTAAGTAGACAATTGCATACATCAGCTATTACTTCGTTCGCTGAAACACTGTCCAGACTTATATCAGATGATGTCAGCTCTTGTTGCTTCCTTCAGATTCTGATAAGTATGCATTTTGTTACCTCGTGTTGCTCTGGATCTCACATGCGAGAAGCACGAGACCAATGTTCCACCGTGATCCTTTCCGGAGTTACTTTAACTGATGAACTTGTGGTTCTAATTATTTTTCTGAATTTACTTTAGTACAACTTCTTACCCTTCACTAAAGTTACCCTTTATTTACAGCATTTAACCAAGAGTTTATGGGCTCATAAACAAATGGGAATTTGTTTATGTAAGCATTAAGTAAACCTCAACAGCCTGCTTTTGTTGCAATTCGTTCCACTATAAAGTATGAGTAACTCTACTAAGCTGACACAGTTACACTGTTATAAAATTGAGAAGACTTGAGAAGAATCAGTGGAGACTTAGGACCTGACAGTGGACTTTGAACTCCCTGTTTGTGACATCCCTCAGTCACAAGAGCAAAACAGACACTGAAGTCCTAAGGTCTCATGATAGAACCTGCATTCTTCCTCTGCCCTCTACACTACAGCAGAGTTTACTAGAATACAATTACTAACAGCCACATATTTCCATGTCCATTTCAGATTTATTTTTAGAGAAGTGTTACCAATCTAGAGAACAGAATTAACAAACTTCAGTTGATTTCCAAAATGTGCTGTGATCCTTTGAAAAGTTTGAAACATGCCAAAAAAGGGGCTAGTTTATGTTTAGTAAGAAGGGAAGGGGGCCGTTATTTCCACCAGGACCATTATTTCTCCCCTAGTAAGAAAGTGAGTAGAAACAGGATGGTAATTATCAAAACTCTTCTTTGGAACTGCAGGACTTGTCCAAATTAGAGGTCACAACTGCCTCCTGCAGTGAGACTGGAACATACTCAACAACTAAGAAAACATTTGCAGTGGAAAGCAAAATTAAGACTTAAGACAACCGTTTCTTTATAAGGGCCACAGGAGTCTCCAGATTCAAGGGAGATCAATACAAGAAATGAATTGGTCAGGCTCTTAGACTGTAAACTTAACAATCATTAATATCTTTACTGTTTGAAAAAAATTGTAGAAGTGAATTTTTTTTTTTCTGTTCAGAAAGAGTAATGCTTCAGACTGAAATTTAAATATATTGAGGGTTTATACATTTTTAAAACAATGAAATTAGATCTATCTAAACCCACAGCTAACATTCTCATATTCCCTACTGCTTGCTTTAGGACAGAAGAACTTTTCTCCTCAATAACTCGAGCCAGAACAATGATCTCAGGTAAAGTGAGTGGCAGAACGCAAGATGCTTACGACCTATCACTATGAATCTAGTTAAGCAGTCCTTCAAATTATAAAGGTTATAATAAATAAAATGTGATATAATAATATTAATACAGTAGATATTCTTTATTGGCACACTGGTAATTGCTAACTACAGCTGCATCTCGTCTCTCTCTAAGGGAACTGAGGCTCTGCATGTGTCTCTGTATACCGTATGGGAGGAAATACCAACTTGTCAGTAGTGATTGCTGCATATTTCCATCCTTGATGTACTTTCTGTTGCCAGGGAGCTGGCTTATAAGTGAGCTCCTTCAGCTCAGTTTACTCTGCCTGGACCTTGCATTCTTCAGTACTTGTGAGCTGCTGCTAGTCTCAGCAGCACTTGGTTGTATTACATACAGATTATAGGCTCAGCACTTGTTAAGCCTTGTGCACATCCCTCCCTGCAAAGCTAAAAAAGAAATGCTAATGAAAGAAATGTAGCTCTTTATTTGATAGTATCTCCACTTGTGTTGCAACGATTGTCAAGAGACCAACTCAGTCACTGCAGAGCTGAATTTTATTCTTCTCCCTGTTAATAGACCTGTACCTACTTAATTTCTTTGTGATTGCTTCACCACTTGTTTAGGAATTGACAGACATGATGTAACCAACTCCTTACTCCCACCTGACCTTGCAGGCTTTTATGAGCACTAAAAATCAACTCCCTATCCTGAGTCAGGATACCCAGCAAATAATCCATCATTTGGAATAGCAGAGGACATCGTCACAGTCGTTAGGGCATGGTCCCAACCCAGCGAGTAATACAAGGATGAGTTTCTCTAACGGTATAAAGAATGTGAGCACATTCCACCTTTTAAAAAATACTCAGTCCCACTCTGATGTCTGTTGTGTCCTCCAAGACTACCGAATATAACTTCAGATCTTTGTCCTTCTTTCCACTGAGTTGAGCATAGGACTTCTATAGAATAAACTCCAAGGATGGCAGTTCCATTTCTCACACCCAACCAGAAGCATAACACTCATCTGTGAAGGAAACACTGTCTCAGGACATAGAACTAAGCAATGTAAACCTCACCACCTTAAACTCTGGAGGAACACCAAATTCTTAAACGTTGATTTCTCCATGAACACATGTAATATGTATGTTGAAGGAAATAAAACTCAAGCAAACTTCTGTCAAAATAAAATACAACACACACAAACAATTCAAGGAAAGTGAGTAAGGAAACTGTTTAACCCAGTTTGTCCACAGACACCTCAGTGAGGGTGGTGTTAAGAAAACACGACGGGATAACACAGAGAGTTAAGTTGCCATTGCCAGCTGGTAGAGCGTCATGGCTTTCATGTAACTACATGGATTTAAATGGCTGAAGGTCTTGGCTCTAACCTTCAGCAGAGGTTAATAAACTGGCAGGTTCTACAGAAATAAGTTTTAAAGCCCAGAGAGGTAATCAAGAGCATCTGGGCAAAAGGAGCCCTCAGACAAGGTACACCATTCTCTAAGGCAAATAGCAGATAAAGCATACGACAGAAAAACCTGCCAGCTCAGCATTTTTTTCTGGAGAAGTACCTTCCCCCTCTCACTGTGGTTACCACTGTGTTCAGAAAATAATGACCCTTTGGCCCACCCCCTTCTTCTGACTGTACCACTGCCTCGAGCTGATCGGGGTGACTGACAAACTGCATAACCTGATATTCAAAGCCATTGTATGAAAAATACCACACCATTCTGCATGATAAATGGTTTCTACTTGGAATTAGTTAGCGGCAAAATATTTTGGCTACTTTTACTAAAGGGGTTTGCTTTGCTTGCAAGGTCGTTCAGAATAAGCTCCCTGAACTTTGAACTGTGTCTTCAAAGTGAGATAAACAAGAGCTGTATAAATACCACAGCCCTTTTCCCCACAGTGTTTTCTTCTGCAGCGGAGTTGAGCAGAGCTGCCAAGGAGTGGGGGGAGGAAAGGGTGAGTGTGCTGGTTTTGCTATGAAAGAACTTCTCATGACTTAAGATTTGGCATAGTGTCTGCTTGTTTCTTTGGCTGAAAAGGCTGACTGTGGAAATTTCCGTTGGAAACCAAGTAGAAAGTTGAAATGCACAGAGAAGTGAAATTCAGAACGTAGCTCGCGTCTGGTTCATGGGGCGAGGCAGCTGTTGCTGGGTGCTGCATGCCAGGGCTGCAGAGGGCTGAAAAGGCATAGGAAGATCTCAAGATGTCACAGGAATTTCATGTATCTATAAGAGATATAAAAGGGGGCAGCTTTCCAGGTGTGAGGAAAGAGTACAAAACTAGCCCCACTGTATCTGTTGGACCACAGTCTAATCTTCATAGTACTGCAGCTAGAATGCTTTCGGTAGAACTACAGGAAAGAAACATTAGGGACAGATGGATTTCACAAATGATATTGGCTTTCCAGAAGCTGGCTCCTCTTTTAAAAGATCAGTTATTTAAATGGGTTTTTTTGGTTTTTTTTTGTTTTTTTTTAGTATATTACAAGGTTGATATCAGAGCTCAGTGTTCCCAAAACTTTCTGTGTTTATGTCAGACTTTGGTGTGAGTGGTGAAATTATACAATTCCAAAACCTAGGACATGTTGGGGAGCAGTTTTATAATTTTATATATATTTCTCAGTAATGGGTGTTTTCTGAATATATTAAGCCCAAATTATTACCTTAATAGAGTAAAAGTAAAAGATAATTACATAATTTCTTGTATGCTTTCATTTTCATAAACATTAAATATACTAAGGGTGGGTAAGAGATTTTGTAAGATCTGAGTAATCCTGAAACTCAAGTTTTTCATTTCTTGTTTTTGCAAAAGTGTTTCTAGTGCCTGTGTTCTTAAGAGATCTTTCTCTAAGGGATTGAAATACTACAGACTGCCTTGTAAAACTCTTTAAGTCTTTTTTTTTTTTTCTGTAATGTTTGCTTTGTACCAAGATACACCATTGGTGCAACTTCTTTTAAATTAGTGGAATTATTCCTAATCTGGAGTGAACCGGTCTAGATTCTTACTGTCTCAGCACAACTGATTTCCAAACATGAGAAACGGGGCAACTTTAAAATCACAGAAGTGTTAGAAACAGTCAAGAAGACGCTACGAAAAGGAAGGAACAAAGCAGTCTGATTAGTAATTTCGGAAGAAAATGAAGTGACTCTGAACACCTACTTTTCAGGTGTTTGTATACAACAAGAAGATACGGCCTATTATTATGGGGGAACTCCACTGCAAAATAAAAGAAATATGATCAAGCAGGAAACAAAAAAAATTATTCTCAAGTTTGGTTTGGTGGTTGTTGTTTTTGTTGGTTTTTTTTTTTTTTGGTTGGTTGGTTGGGGTTTTGGGGTGGTTTTTTTTTTTGGTTTTTTGTTTGTTTGTTTGTTTTGTTTTGTTTAAATCTTTTTTAGACTGAATGGAGCTGATATTCTGCTATATTTTGTTACAGAAATTTCAAGCCTGAACTTTGCTGACACATTAAACCCATTTTGTTTTCTCTCATTTCAGATAAAGCCCAGCCATGTGGGCGGGGCTAGGGCTAGTTCTGGCTCTCTGTCTCCTCCCAGGAGGAGGGACAGAGATCCAGAACTGCAAGGAGCCCCCAGAATGGCATATTGGGGAGGAGAACCCAATGCTGAACTCAAGGGGCTCAGTGACGGTGGTGGCTCTCCTCCAAGCTAGCTGATACTTGTGCCTGCTGCAGGCTTCCAGGTGAGTATAAATATCTTTCCAAATTTTTGTTGATTTGTCAGTTTAACTTGGTAAATATGTAATTTTTTTTTAAAAAAAATGCTATTGGAGAATAATACGTGTGCCCAACTACAGATGCATGCAGTGAACTCTGAATTCCTCAGATGCCACCATCCCAGCTGTCATGTGTGACCCAGTGACCAAGTTAACTCTCAGCAGAAGCGTTCTTTGCCAGCAGCTCAGGTTCTTTACTTAGTCCTGACTGACAGATCATCCTCTCCAGACTGTATTTACAACATAAAAGTACGATCAACTTGACATTAGTGAAACCCAAAACACATGAAAACCCAACAAGAAAACTTCCTCAGGACTATGCTTCAGTTAACAAGTGATTAATGTAGCAAAGATGCTGAAGCCAAGAAGCATCATAATTCTGTAACAGGGCTAGAAGACTTGAAACTCATAGAACTGTGATCACTCATTTCTTACATAAGATCTGTAGGGGAAAAGGCAAATCAAAACATGTGCTTTTAACAAGCTGTTCCAGCCCCTGTTCGGAGGTCCCAGATACACAAAAGTAATCCAGAAGATAAGGTAAAGACTGTCCTTTCAAAAACCAGATGAAACATTCAAGGGAATCATTGGTGTTGTGTTTTCATACAAGACCTGAGACATTGGTGCTCTGGTTTCTAGAGCATAGTTCTGTGCAAGTAACCAGGTATTGTGGCAGTAACAGCAGCAAGAAAATAAGTTGGAGCTGACCCAAGCAGGATACAGCCTGCACATAGCCCTTATCTCTGATCCATTTGGTGTAAAAATTCATAGTACCAGTTTCAGAGTTTGATTTTAATCACTGCAATAACATCTTAGTTTCCCCCTCTAGGCTGCATAACTTTGTGTTATAATAGTCTTTGCAAGTTTTTTAAGAACTAGATTTGAAAAAAAAAGTGGTGGCTCTATCAAAGTCAATATCAAAACCAAAAAACCAAAAAAAATTTCTAGAGCAATTAAATACGAAGGTTGTAAATTAAAAGAAAATAAAAACCTACCCACATTGTACAGCAAGAAAACAGCTTTCTTTACTGTGGAGCAAGGAAAGACTTTGTGATGGGATGCCAAAGGGAAATAATAGTTGCCAGACAGGTCGTAGACACATCCTACAGCCATTCTTTCAACCCAGCTGCTGTAATATCCCTTTTCTGGCTATTGTAGCAAATAGCCATGCCCAGATGAGTGGGAGAGCGATCAGCCTTTTAATGGAGTGGCAGAGCTATCGGCCTTTTACTGCAGGTTTGCTTTCCTCATTATTCATCTTCCTGCTGCATTTACAGCACATACTCTTTAACCAGCTGTGTGGCCAAAACTCATGGCACATTAGCTATGTTAGACTCTGGCTGGGTGATGCTATAGCTGATAGTCATTGCAGTTGGCATGAATGTTTTAATAGTGTCAGACTGTTGCTATTAAAACAGGGAGAAAATAGCTCTGACTGTAATAAAAGCGATAGGGAGCACGTTAACTTTTGTGGAATGTGGCAAATCTTACGATTCTCTAATGATTTATGCTCTTGCTTCTTTACCTTGTCCGCTAGATTGGAGGACCTGCGGGTGAAGTTGGAGAATGAAGGACTGGTCAATATCTCCTATGTAGTTGTCAACCATCAGGGAGCTTATTCCCGGAGGAAGTTTCACCTACTGAAAGAAAGTGTTTCAGACTATATTACTGTCTACCAGCAAGATGAACAGCAAGCTGATATCTGGACTACCTTAGATGGAAACAAAGATGACTTTCTCATCTATGACAGGTTTGTATTTACAGGGGAACAAAGGAAAATATTTGCATGTATTTAAAGTAGTGCTTTGTAGATCTCTGTATAATCTCATGAATTTGCAGATAACCTCACATCACGTAATTGCCTCACTATAAAGACATTATAACTTAACTTCTAAGTTGCACTTGCATTTACTGGGAAAAGAAAGCTGAAAAAAGAAGTGTGCTTTTGCTTAGGTAAATTTGGGATAAACAATTTTTTCTTTATAATTACTGTGGATTTACATTAATATAACTGAGTGTAGAATTTGATAGCATCATTCTGCTCTTACACTATTTTTATTTTCAGACAACTTGATGACGTCCATGCATGTGAAAGTAGAATCAAACAAGAAAAGCTGTCCAAGTTCTCATTAAAACATTTTGACTAGGGCTGTTGAAAATGTCATGTAGCTGTATGAAAAAATTATGTGAAACTTAAGACTTTGGAAGCAAATAGCTTTTTGGTCATAGGATTCTGGGACATATTTCTTTTGGCAGAACCAGTAATAACTCTTCAACCAAAAACCTCCTTTTTCGGTTTTGATCTGGTGGAAATTATTTGAAAAGTACTACACTTCTAACATGTTCAACCTAATTAGTATTAGGTTGCAGTAACAAACATTCTCAGTTCATAGTGAAACACAGTTAAGTTTAATAAAGAATTAGAAAGTTACTTATCTTTTTTTTTTTTTTTGTAATATGATGAAATTGAATAATTAGCTAAATTAGGCTTGTGGCTTGAAACGATCACTGGAACGATCTTTAGAAAGTGTTTGCATGTTGCAGCAGAAATTATACTTAAGTATGGAAGGTTGCTGTCATGAAAGACAAACAGAACAAGGCTGTGTGTGGTTGTGGGAGGGCCCCAAAGCTGACACGTGACCCATGGTGTTTCGAAAGATTGAGTGGTTCTGTGCTCTTGACAGGCAGGACACACTTGGGCTGTGAGTTGGTTTGGGAGTCCTTGGGCCGTGACCCAATGTGGTTCTGGGAATGTGTGTCCTTTCTATTGCCTTTATTGGCAGTGAAGTCTTTGCCTGCTGCTGACCCCAGACATGCACTGTGGACGTGTGGGTAGCTAAGGCTGGAGGGCGTGTGTTGGCATTGCAGGTGTGGTACTTAACAAGGTGCCCTGTGCACAGGTTCTGCACTTACTCCAGCTCCTCTGAGTGTACCAGTTGTGTAGTCAGGTGCCTATCAGAAGACTCAAGTACATACATGGGACAAACAAGCACCATAAAAATCCCCTCATGCACACTAAGTAATGCAGATGCACCACAATGCACACTCCAATCAAAATACATGTTATGTTGCATAAAAACGTTACTTGCAAGGGTGCAGCAATCATCTGGCAATATGTACCACCATGCAAACAGCCCTCCTCATTAGCAGGATAGGTCTATAATGAGCATAGCTTTCTGGTCTAAATGCTGCTCCAGCTTCTGCCAGTAGAGTTACGAAGTCAGGCATCAGTCATGCTTCAGACTGCTGTCCAATGCAGTTGAGTGGGCAAACGTTTGCAGGGCAGATACTGGTTTTGCCTGTAAGCTCCTTGGACAGAAATATTGTCCATGTACAGTGTGAGTGGACTGACGTAAATAAAATCAGGTGTGATAAGAGGAGAGATTTAATTTTAGGTATGTCTGCATATGTAACCACAGAATTCTTTCTCCCCTTAGATGTGGCCGTCTGGTGTATCATCTAGGTCTGCCCTATTCATTCCTGTCTTTCCAGTATGTAGAAGAATCTATTAAGATTGCATACTGTGAAAACAAGTGTGGAAACTGCTCTTACACGGTATTTTCTTATTTAATTCTGTATATAATAGCGAAGGAAATCGCATTTGACTGGTACTAAGAAGAGAATTATTTAATTGTGATTCCTCCAAAGAGACATGATTTAGAATTTACATGTTTTATGTGTCTTGACAGAGAACTTTTAAACATCTTTCAAAGTGAATTAGATCCTATTTATAATAGTCTGATCATCCAAATTCCTGCCTGTGATAGAAATGAAAATAATTTCTGAAATCTAAATACAGACTTGGAGTCTAATACTGATTCTGGAGTTAGGTACAGCTAGTACGCAATTAGCTACTCTAGTTTTTGTGAATGGGTAGGTACTTAAATAGTAATATTTTTTTTAAAACCTAGGAATGAAATCTGAGCTGGTTTGAGTTACTTTTGGGTTTAGGTTTACATTTAAACACAGTATACAATAGTTGCTCTAAAAAAGTGAAAATACAAGGTGGCCAAATATTGTTTTAATATATTTATTGTTTAAATATTTAT